ACTGGAGAACTGAAACTGCCCAGAATGATGGGTAAAGCGCACCCAGTATTTCACTGCAGCTTGTGGAGGCTGACTCAGGGATCGAAACTGAGACCAATTGGAAAAAAAGGACCTGGTCCAATACGGGTGGAGGGGGAAAGACATTACAAGATTAAGCAAATCATAGACTCTAGAATCCATAAAGGGAAACTACAGATCTTGTTCGGTGAAGAGGCTATCCAATAGAGGAAGTGAGTTAGATAAAACCTCATAACATTAGAGCAGAAGACTTAATAAGTAGATTCCAGCCAAAATATCTTCAAAAGCCAGGAGCCCCTTAAGTGGGGAACTGAGGGAAAAGAAATGCCTTAATATGTGTTTGCTGTTTTCCAGGTACCTTCCAGTTTTTAGGAGGGTCTGCCTGTCAAGTTTCGAAACACCTTTTTTTTTTCTTGCTGCAACAGTTATTGCTTCTCAGCCTGCCAATGAGCCCAGGAGGGAAGAAATCAGATTGGAGTGCAGATTTCAAAAATTAAGGAAGCAGACCATGGGAACCCAGGACATTTACCAGGTGTCTGGCCAACCCCAGAGATACTTTCTCAAAACAATATTGCTGTATTCAATTGGCCCCCTGATCCAGAGGGAGGAGAGAGAATACTATGCTTTCACTATGTAGGGCTTGGGTGGGGTTTTCCCAGAGCTTCTTTTGCTTTCATACATGCCGAAATGATGTACTAATAAAGATTTCCATTAAGAGATTGGAATGTCTCATAGGTGTTTGCTTTGTTGGGATCATCAGCCAGAATCCTGACACAGACCTTGGAGGAATTGAAATACCAATTCAGAAAGAATCATGAAGGAGATAAGGTTGAGAACCTCTTAAGATACCTACCAAGCTAAAAGCAGTCCAAAGTACAGGATAATATTCATATGTGTTCTCTCTTAAAGGGCTACTTAATCCAAATATTGGGTAACCTGCCTGCTGAGGAAAAGGAGGACTAGCAACAGTTTAAAAACACAAATATTAATTATTAATTTATTTTATTATTTGATGATTTTAGTTTTATTCAACTAACTTCTTTATTTCATTGGATTTTAAATAACCTTAATAGTCAAACAGGCAAACTAAGCATATAAACTAAGAACAATTGCAATCAATAATTAAATTTTAAGAACCCAAGAAACAATTTCATTATCAGTTCCCTACTTTTATTATTAGATCATCCTTAGTATTTAGATCTGGTCTCAGGATGATAATGTAGCACTTGGGGAAGAAGATACATCCCAATAGTCCACCACCGGAGGCCAAGATGGAGAAGACCTGCACAGCCACCATGTATTTTCCTTTAGTGCTCAGGTAGGTGGGGAGGAAGGAGACCCAGACACTGCAGAAGACCAGCATACTGAAGGTGATCAATTTGGCTTCATTGAAGGCTCCAGGCAGATTTCTGGCCAGGAAAGCCACCATGAAGCAAATGGCAGCAAGGAAACCCATGTAGCCAAGGACAACATAAAACATGGTGACAGAGCCTTCACTGCATTGAAGAATGATCTGTCCAGGCTGGGAGTGTAGTTCAGATTCAGGGAATGGGGGAGAAACTACCAGCCACATGACACAAATGAAAATTTGGATAACTAAACAAGAAAGGACGATGGAGTTGGCCAAGGTTTTCCCTAACCATCTTCTCATTATATTCCCTGGTTTTGAGGCCAGGAATGCCAGCACCACCATGATAGTTTTGGCCAACACAGAAGACACGGCTACTGAGAAGACAATGCTGAACATTGTTTGTCGGAGAAGACAGGTGACTTTTCTTGGTCGGCCAATGAAGAGAAAGGAGGATAAAAAGCAAAGCAGGAGGGAGATCAGGAGGATGAAGGAGAGATCCCGGTTGTTGGCTTTGACAATGGGAGTTTCTAGGTATTGAATGAATATGGTGAAAACAAGGCCTGTGGTTATAGACAAGAGTAGGGCAAAGGAGATGAGGATGATGCCCAGATACTCTTCATAGGAGAGGAAGATTGTTCTTTTGGGGATACATTGGATTCGGTTCTTGGTTGGATATTGATCATCTGGGCACGTGGTGCATTTCTCAGTATCTGAGAAAACAAAGTAATATTTGTTTTATACTCTTTCAGATTTCAAGAAAACCTTTGGACTAGGTGATATTGAGAGACAGGAAAGTCTTAGTAATGGTATATTCTTACCCTCCAGCAAAAAATATTCCCCAATATATAAAACTATTAAAACAAAGAACAACAAAACAAAAATAAAAGAAGAAATAATGGTTGCACAACCTCCCTTCTCTGAGGTAATCCACCAGATTCTTATCTTGCACTGACCTTACTTTATCCCAAATGGTTGGGAGAAGTATCAAGTCACCAGAGGTTTAAGAGGATGAATTGAATTTCAAGGGGGAGTGGGTCCAATGGGGCAGGAGCTGCACCAGAACAAGCAGGCATTTGAGGACCCATAAAGACCTTTTTGCATGCCAAATATTATCTGCTCTGGTGGGACAAGCAGATATCCTCAAGGAGAGGAAGCCCTGCAGACGTCGTGGTTCTTTCTTATGTAAGGTTTTGAAAACCTTCATTAGAGCACAGAAATTCACAGAATCTCCAAACTATTAGGACTTTTTAAAAAATCCCTTAAAATGTGACTCTTTGAACAGCCCTGGGGATCTCCTGGTAACAGGACCCTATGTGCTGGTTGCAAGGTAGTTAGCATCTTGATCTTAAGGAAAATTAATTCATGAAGGAATTCATAAAACAAAAACTGTGTCTGCAAAGTCTTTTTACCCTGTAGAAATGAGAAGATGAAGCGATATTGTCAAGCAAGAACATCCGATGTTAGATATATTTCCATACCCTCTAGATTTGGCAAACAATTTTAAAGAGAGAATGAATTCAACATTAGTATCTATGGATGTTAAATAGATTGATCTTTTATTAGTTCTCTCCCCCCCTTTTCTGTTCCTTTTAATCCCAATGCAGTATGTATTTTTTTTCCTTCCAGAACCAGGAGTATATTCTTTTTTTTTTGTTCATGTGCTCTCACTGAGGAGGTAGAAGGAAAGAGATCTCCAAAACCCAAGCCTTGAATATTTTGCACTGGTGGACTTAGAGTGAGAGTCCTAGGGCTCACTGTGTGCAGTTTAATAGCCTGACTTGCACACTGGCTAACCTCAGTTGGACATCCCAAACCTGGATGCACTGAACTAAGACCTAAGGCAAGAAGCATCCCTTGAAAATGGGCAGCCAGTGGTTATATACTGAGGCAAGCATGGCTGTGAGGAGGAACGTGCAAACCTGACTGGAAGCTCAAAGTGACAGACAATATCTGAAAAGAATTGGCACAGAATATTGGACACTATAAATTTATTTTCCACCTAACAGAACCTTTGCTCTGACTTTTAGATGTTTATCCACTGCAGGGATCTTTTTTCTGCTGCCTCTATTAGTGTCTTCCCCTTCTTTAAACCTTGTTTCCCCACATCCTAGAGCCCCCATAGAAATGCCAATCAAGTCTTCCTCACAGATCAATGTTTAATCTTGTGCTAGTAACTGTATGTCACCCCACTCTTATGGCACAAAGGGGGGATTGTGGGAAGAATCCAGAGAAAGAAATATTTTGGGAAATATTAAAAAAGCGGAATATATTTCTCCAAAGGAATAATGGAGAAGATCTTTAAAAAGCAGAAACTTCTCCATCCCTCCCCCCAACCAGAAAACTCGGCAGAAACCAGCTTTTTAGAAATGTAGATGTAATAATCCCAGTGGTGGGATTCAGCCAGTTTGCACCACTTCGGCAGAACTGGTAGCTAATTTTTTGTTGCTCAGGCCCAGAACAGACTTCCGGAAGTGGCATCCACAAAGAGAACACGTTCTTCAAGGAGAGAAGCAACTTAGAACTAAGGAGAAACTTTCTGACAGTTAGAATAATTAACCAGTGGAACACCCTGCCTCCAGAAGTGGTTAATGCTCCAACACTGGAAGTTTTTAAGAAGAGACTGGACAGCCATTTTTTTGAAATGGTATAGCGTTTCCTGCCCGAGCAGGGGGTTGGACTAGATGACCTCCAAGGTCCCTTCCAACTTTATTATTATTATTATTATTATTATTATTATTATTATTATTATTCACATACTGTATTTGAATCCTACCACTGAATAATCCATTTAGGAAAGTTGGGGCCAGAAAGTTAGAAGCTATGAAATTAAGAAGACAAAGACCCCTAAAATCTACATACCCCACCCAAACTCTAAGCACAGGAAACATAAAGGATTAACCCACTAATACCAAAAGGGCACCTGCAGGCTCAGGCCAAAGTACATGACACAGGAAATACAAACATCAAACAGGAACAGGAAACAACCTAAAGAGCCCCAGAAGGTATAACAACCCACCACTCCCAGCAACATGTGGTCAGCTTTCCCAGAGCCACGCTTCTGTCTGGCTCTGCTCTTCAATAAACTCCAATCTTCATTTTAAAGCAGTCTCCATTTTGTTTATTCCCAGCTTGGACTGGACCCTGATGAAGATTTTTCTTTCAACAGATCTAAAATCATTTCTCAAGTTACAAAGAACTCAGATGTTCCTAGTAAAAATAAACGTGGAAAGATCCACCCAAACTGCCAAATAAAAGAGAGATTTCCTACGCAATCTACAACATCATTCTTTCTACCTCATCCTTTAAAGTATTTTTCTTATAAATCCCATTGAGGGAAGAAATTGGATATCATGAAAATTGAGAACTAAACAATCAAACTTACATGAGTCTTTAACATGCATATTGATCAAAGTTTCCCTGTGGTGTCACCCACCTTCCTGAGTGGAGATGGTCCCCTCTGGACAAGGAATGCAGTCGTAGCAACAAACTGGCTCTCCTTCTCGAGCCTGCTTGACAAATCCAGGAAGGCATTTTTCCACACATTTAGACTGAGGCAGAGACTAAACAGAAAAAGAAGAAATGCCAAAGAAAATATGTCAATACTCACCATCCATGTAAGATGGAGGTAGACATGAACATCAGCCAAGTCGTCTCTTGGCTTCACATAGGCAAATATGAAATCTGTTACCACTTCCAAATGGTTGCAGGAGAGACAATTGCAGGCAGATGCTTCATTCAGTTCCTCCCTTTTTCTTCTGATTTATCAGATTACAATAAAGTAGCTTTCTACTTAACAAAGTCTGGAGGGATGAAATGGAGAAAAGGTTTAACCTTTAAGTGGCAACCGGTGGGTTCCTCCTCATAGTGAAATTAACATGCATTCCTCCATTCTTCATAAATGCTTGATTTTAAATTATCCACAAATATTACATTTTAGAGTGAACTTTATTGTACAATATATATTTATTTTTCATTTCATTGGATTTATTAAATGAGACTAAAACTGTGAGGAAGAAAGAAACTTCTGACCAGTAGGATCTGGAAAGGTTTCTTCTGGAGTGCATAAAACATTGCAAAGCTGTTTCCCTTTGAAAGAAGTCCAAAATTATCTCCCAATTAAAATAAAAAGGGAAAATTCCTTACAAATAAAGGCTGTCAACATTAAAGATATTCTTCATTCATATATATACAGTATTTGTTCAGTTTATACGGCTGTCATGCTGGTGAACTAAAACTAAAACTGGCTGACTAGTTTCTAAAACTATAGTGAGGTGAGATGGAGGTGAGGTCATGAGAATGTGTCCCTCAAAAAGGGTGAGTCAGGCATTTTTTTGATGCACCACATGGGTCATGAGTGTGAGTCATCTGTGTGAAAGGGATATTCAACACAAGGTATCCAACACAAGGACCTTTCTGTTGAGAGATTACAATTAGGTGACACAACCTGACAGGAAAATACACACTCATATTTATTATTAGTTTAATTTGTAGCCTCTCAGTATGTTCTAAGGCAGCTAACAGTCAAGATAAACAGTTGCATTCAAGAGATTTTCAGATGAAGTGACTCTTACAAGCCAGTGCCCAAATCTAAGTAAGATTTCCCTCGAAATTGTCCTATATTATTTCTGATATCAAGATTTTGTTTTGCACCAAAGCAATGGTTCAATACTTCAATTTTCAAGTCATTTTCAAGCCATTATCATGGTGAGATGGGTAGCAAATAAATTTAATCAATCAATCCATAAATGAGCTCACATCATATCAGTCATTGTTATTTCATGTGAACTGAAGCCTTGGACCTCCTTCATAAATTCCACTATTCCAGTGCAGGTTAAAGAGAGGCAGCTATAAGCATGTTCTCAGCTGATTAAAAACATCCCAGACTGTGAGCCTGCAATTTTGGGAGACCCCTGACTCCAATCAAGGCAAGATGAAGCTTATTTAACAATTGGACCAACAGGACCTCCATCCAGTCTTGATTCCATTTCATTGGATTCAGTCCAAATCTGAACTCAGGGACTGGTCAACAGAATTGCCTTCACCTTTGATATGTGAAGGCAAAAAACTAGTGAACCTGAAGCTATTAACACCAAAATCTCAAGCATATGAGTCCCTGTCTCACCAGTTTTATGGTGATACTAAACTGCCAAAAGGACGCTAAATGGCAATGATTTGTGTCCTAAACAATAATCACCCCATCTCTCATTTTGGATCAGCTTACAACAGGGTTCAGCATGACAGCATCAGAAGGGAAGCCTTGGTCAATAGAACTGAAGCATGCTTATCTGCCTAAGAAAACTATAGAGGTTTTACTCCACACATTCAATTCTCAGTGAAGGTTATCCACTTTTTTGACTGGGTTTAGCCCATTTGAAACAGCTTTGGAAAAAAGAGAAAAGACATCAATATTTTCCTCACCTTGTTGAGCAACTTTAACTGTGACAAAGCATCTTGGTTGATTGTAAGTCTTTGTCTTTCAAAACTCCCCAATTGCTTGTTGGAGGAATCCTCCTTGAGGAGAATCGCCCTAATAAAGACCCTCAAGTCTGCTGCTAGGTCTCCATCCTGATCCAAGTACACTTTCAGCAGGGAAAGATTGTACAATTCCCTCTTCTTTAGAAATGAATAGAACTAGAATGGAAACATCCAGGAATTTAAAAGCAGAAATCTTGGTTTCTTATCTCTTATCAATTTTTACATTTGAATCTTTCCTCTATGGTTGTTTAACTTGCAAATATTGTGAGTTGGGAGAACAAGTGTTACCATTATCTTCAAACTGAAGTACAAAGATTGAGAAATATTTCTAAATCATCTTGTATACTGATAAAATGTACATTGAGAAAATGTAGTTGACAAAAATTGTCAGTCACATATAACAATCTAGCAAAGGTCACCAATCAAGTAAACAAAATACAAAATAACTAGAGTATTCATGAACTCCTTGCAAACAATAGAGTGATTACCAGAAAGCAAGGATTTGTTAAGAAGGAAGTTGCAAGGCTAATCTTCATTCAGGCAGAGGAGATAGGAAAAATGACCAGATGAAGTAATTCTATTTTATTGTAAGGCTATATTAACAAAATCTTGCAGTGTGAAAGAACAAATCTTTCACCACCTCTTTTGATAATCAAACAATTTAGTGAGAACTTTTCCTGAGTTTCTTTCTCTGCCGGTTACGTAGCTGTTCGTTGCCCCCCTCCAAACCATTTTATTTGATCCTTCCTTGCATCCCTTTCTCTGGTCCTCAATTCACACCTATCGTTATACTTCCTTAACAGATTGGGTGAATGATGGTGGTATAACTTGTTTCTAGCAAAGAATTAACAAAATGCTTCATGGTGTGATCATGGGGATCTAGTTAATTGAGTGCTGGACGGTATAATTAATTGGATACAATTGTTTCAAAAATTGCACTCAAATAAATATTAATATTACTGATAAAATTGGGGAGTTACGAAAAATAATTAGACAGTCACATTTTTTCTATATTTTCTTTAACAAAGGAAGTGGATAAATCATGATTTTCTGATGCAAAAATTATAATAACACCTGGACAAAGTTATTTTGGTCTCCTTTACAAATTCCCAGCTTCTCTCAGGTCCCTATAGATCCCTGTCAGGATGCTGCCCTCCTGATGGGAGGGGGGACCTTTGGAGCTCTCCTGTGATGTGTTTAGCTTTGCTTTGTTGACTCGGTTCCGCTGCCCGAGGTCATCTGCCTCCCCTCACCAAGGAAGAGATGTCTGGGAACATCTTACTGCAGTTTCCCTCTGGAGTTCTCACAACCTCTTTGCACCCGTGGATTGCCTCCTATGGACTGGGCAGTTGGGAGGGTTTTTGAACAATGGGGTTTAGCCTAACAATTTCACCCAGGAACTTAAGATTCTTTCTGCCTTCTCTTGCTGTCAATGGCTCTCAATAAAAGTTCCTCTTGAAATGATGCCAGTTTCAAGAGTTCTGCTTTCCTGAGAGATTCAGCTGAGGCAGGGCCTTACAGCTTCCAAAAAATAAAAATATGATTTTGTGTTAGAGAGAGGTGCATGAGTAAAATTCAGTAGGAAACTAACTAATTGTTAGCATCCAGGACTTGATAAATGATTGTATGAATGTAATGAATGGCAGCTATAATCTGTATTAATATTTCATTTGTAGTTTTTCTCACATTATTCTATGCATAGAATGTTTACTCATTATAATAAAGTAGTAGTAATATTTTAATGTTATGATAATAACTGTATTGTTAATTTGTCAATAATGTCATTAATGATCTAATGGAAGGAGCTGGTTTAAGCCTTGAGGAAAGACATCAAGCAGAAGAGCCATGTTGGAACAGAACAGAGCAGAACAGAACAAAAGCTGGAAGGAACCCTGGAGGTCTTCTAGTCCAGCCCCCTGCTCAAGCTGGAGAACCTATACCATCTCAGACAAGTGATTATCTATAGTCTCTTCTTAAAAAATCTCCAGTAATGGAGCGCCCATGATTTCTGAAGGCAAGCTGTTCCACTGGTTAATGGTGCTCATTGTTACCAAGTTAGCAAGTTTCTCCTTAATTCCAGCTTGCTTCTCTCTTTGATCAGTTTCCAACCATTGTTTCTTGTCCTAGTTTACAGCAGCTTAAAATCAGAAAAATTCTGGGAACATTTATTTGAATATATAAAAGGTCTTGGTTGTTGAAGGGAGGATGCAGCACTCTTCCGATAAGTAGGAGATGTTGTACAGGAGCTTACGGTCTTAAACCACCAAGCCCAGAGAGCAAAAAAGACCCTAAAAATGAATTTAGCCTGATGGATCCTTGTTGGGACCCCCTACCATCCACGGCTGCAGCCTTGGAGCCCCCAACCTCTCTTCACCCTTCTTCCTTCTCCTCTGGGGATTGGTTGCAGCACTTAAGGCGTGGGCCAGAATCTTAATGACACTATAAGTAACAGCTGTATTTCCAATCCGCATCCTATTCTTTTTCTCTTGGGTCTCCACTGGTGCTTTCTGGGTGCATCTTCTCCGGCCTTTGACAGAAAAGATGTGTTTTGAAAAAGAACAGTGAAAATCTTGAAATTGCACAAAGAGATATGGTTTATAGGCATTATTGTTTTCCCAATTCTTTTTCCACTGAAAGGGAAAGCTGCAAATACTATGGACATACTTGAGATACCATTTCTTGTTAGCTGAAAATACTCCAAGCACTGTCATGATCCAAACTTTCCCTTCAATGGGTCCAGGCAAACCTTCAAGTGCTGAATGGAAGGCAAGAATTCTGTCCCGAAAGGAATCATATTCTATGAAGTGAACAAAGACGTTGACTTGTCTCCACTTAGAGAGGGCATCCCTGAGGAATGGGGTATGTCCGGTTGTTGAGAACCGTTGTGATATAACAACACAAATTCTATTCTTGACAAGCATAGGAATAAAAGTCCTCATGAAATTCTCTCCCTTCTCTGTGTCTGGAGCAAAGAGACCAATCAGGGTCCATCCAAAATGGAGGAGCAGTTGGACAATTCCTGGGTACTGAATCCCTTCTTTGGGGAGCATCGGATGGAAAAAAGGAAATTGACTTTTATCACTCAGAGCCTCTGAAGCAATTCTCTCACTGACCTAAAAAAAGGAATTCAGTGTTATATTTGGGGTCCTACAACTCCCATTTTTTAGCTTTTAATAAATCCAATATTTTTCTCATGCACACAATAACAATAACAATAACAAAGTTGGAAGGGACCTTGGAGGTCATCTAGTCCAACCTCCTGCTCAGGCAGGAAACCCTAAACCAGTGATGGTGAAACTTTTAGAGACTGGGTGTCCAAACTGAAACCCAAAACCCACTTATGTGTTGTCGGGTGCTGGGTGAGCATGGCCCATTGGATGGGTGTGGCCAATTGGGTGGGTGTGGCCCATTGGGTGGGTGTGGCCACCTGCTTTGTGGGTTTGCCTCAGGTGAGAGTCCGGGGAAGTGGAGGAGGGTTGGCTATGGTCATCCATGGTTTATTATTAGCTCTAAACAGGTTGCAACTAGAGTTTTCCTTTGTCTCAGGAAGGTTGCAAGAAAATCTCCCCAACCTGCTGAAGTATTTTGTGTGAATGTGGCCCTTACTAGAAGATAAGGGCCATACCCAGGTTCAACCTCCAGAAATAAACCATGGTTAAAAGTTGCAACTTTGAATGCAGCCGTTGGTGAAGTGATCAGGTTAAGGGGGTTGTATGGCTGTGACCAGAGGTAGCCTGGTGTAGTGGTCAAGGCGTCAGACTAGTAACCAGGAAACCATGAGTTCTAGTCTTGCCTTGGGCACAAAGCCAGCTGGTTAAACCTGGGCCAGCCAACCACTCAGAGCCCTGGGAAAGAGGCAATGGCAAACCACTTCTGAAAAACCCGGTCACTATGGTCTTTCTGATTACTTTCACACACAATCGGTTGAGGCTGTGGGGCTTCCTGACTCTGGCTTCAGTTTTACAAAACCAGCCAAGTCGACTCCATTTTGCTAAACTTGGGCAGATTTTTTTTTAATCTGGTTGCTCTCTATAAAAGTGGCAGGAAAACTTTAATCCTGATCGTGACAGTGAGTAAGAAGTCCTCATGAAGTCTGCAGACAGGCTGATGAAGTTGGGATCCTGGAAGGGCAGGAGGGCTGAAGGAGGTGGTTGTCCCTTCCTGTCAAGGGCTGGGAGGGCGTGCTGGAAAAGAGGAATGCAGGTGGATCCCCTTTATGATTTGGCTCAAGCAGCCTCAGACATGGTTGGAAAAGGTTTCTTTGAGGGCGAAGCCTTCCTAGCAGACAGCAAGGGTGGGAGAGCACCAGTGGCATCACAGCAAAGGTGGTTCCACAGATTGGGGGTCAAAGTCAATGCACCCCCTTCTGTTAGCAGCACAGTGCAGCATGGATGGTCAGGCAGGAAGCCCTTCAGGAGGCGAGTTCCAGGCACCTGCAGGCTAGGAGAGCTCACCTGAGTCTGTTTGCATTTGGTCAGATTCAGCACATCCAGCATTGGTGTCCCCTTTGCAGGACTCAGTTGCAGAGACCCTGGAAGTGTGTTGTGTGAATGTCCCACCAGGTGGTTGACAGTTGTGCGTGCACTCAGAACTGAACTGATTGAGTCAAACTCCACTGGCCATCATGGACGCCTGTGCTCTCCTTAACCCGGATGGGGGAGAAACCCTCTTTCCTGAGCTGGGTGGAGTCATCAACTGAATAAACGGGTGAAGTTCACAACTCATGTTTACGCCATCCAGGTTTTTTCAGGCTTTTCTGCGTTATTTTTAGCAAGCTGGGTACATCTCAGCCTGGCACTGACCACAGGGCGGGGCAAAGGCTTTGGGCTTCAGAGGGAACCAGATTAATAATGGCTTCTTTCTCCCTTGCATTTCCAAAGAAATTTCTAAGGAGCAGGGAACTTTTATCATCTATAGAGCTCCTGACAATATTGACTGAGATTTTAAAATTTTAAATATAAAGTTTAATTTAAATTTAAATTAAAAAAAATAATTTTTCAGTAGCTGGGAACCTTGTCCTGTGCCAATGTGTGAAGAAAGTTCATCATGCTAAGCTAGCATCTGGTTTAGATATTTTGGCATGATACATTATGCCAATGTAGCAGTTCCCTTTCCTTAACCTAAGTTAAGGGTGTTATGTGAACTCAGCCAGATTTACCACAAACCATCTATGTGATGGCCAATGCAGTATCGATATGCAGGTTCTGAGGTTTTGTTTGATAAAAAATACAGGAAACCAGAAGATGCCTTCAAAAGTTACATGTTTATTTAGCTGAGCAAAGACGGGCTTCTATAAAAAGAGAGATAAGCCCCAAATATCGAAAAAGCCTTATTTTTATACCTACTTTGATTACATAAGCAATTCACCAAGCAAAGTTGACACACATAAGATAGAGACTTTGCCCTTTAAGGCTGGCACACTGTAGATAAGAAGGAAGAAAGCAGAAGTAGCTAATATGTTCCCTTTTGGGTGATTTGGGTGTTTCCCCAAGGCACCATATGTTCCTGGGTGGGTTAGAATATTTAGTATTTCTATTGCTGTCCTTTCATAACCTTGCAATCATGGGTCTGGAAGGGGCCAGAGAGATGAGACCATCTACAAATACTCACTGTCCTCTACATCTGGGTCAACATCAAGCTTACACCACTATAAAGCCCAGGAAATGACTCATATGTCTCTTGTCTTTAAGAGTTGCTTAAGCCAAATATTGGTTGAGTTGTGTGCTGAGGAAAAGGAGGAAAACTAATAGTTTTTAAAAATATATAATCTATCTATCTATCTATCTATCTATCTATCTATCTATCTATCTATCTATCTATCTATTTTTAATGTATTTGATGATTATCTTGAATTTGCATTTAACTATCAAACCACACATATTTATTTCCTTCAATTATAATAAACATAAGTTGACAAGCAATTCCAAAGCATATAAATAAATAATAATGCATAATGAAAAGTTATAAGTCTAAGAAATAATTTCACCGTCATTCTCCTGCTTTTGTCATTAGATGTTCCTTAGTGTTTAGATGTGGTCTCAGGATGATAATGTAGCACTTGGGGAAAAAGATGCAGCCCAACAGTCCAACACTGGAGGCCATGATGGAGAAGACCTGCACAGCCACCATGTATTTTCCTTTAGTGCTCAGTTAGGTGGGGAGGAAGGAGACCCAGACACTGCAGAAGACCAACATGCTGAAGGTGATCAGCTTGGCTTCATTGAAAGCTCCAGGCAGGTTCCTGGCCAGGAAAGCCACAGTGAAGCAAATGGTAGCAAGGAAGCCCATGTAGCCAAGGACAACATAAAACATGGTGACAGAGCCTTCGTTGCACTGAAGGATAATCTCTTCAGGCTGGAAATGCAGATCAGAATCAGGAAATGGGGGAGAAACTCCCAACCACATGGCACAGATGAGAATTTGGACAGCAGGACAAGAAAGGATGATGGAGTTGGCCAAGCTCTTCCCCAAACATCTTCTCACTTTATTACCTGGTTTTGAAGCTAGGAATGCCAGCACTACTGTGATCGTTTTGACCAACACAGAAGACACGGCTACGGAGAAGACAATGCTGAACACTGTTTGTCGGAGAAGGCAGGTGGCTTTCCTTGGTTGGCCAATGAAGAACAAGGAGGATAAGAATCAAAGCAGAAGGGAGACCAGGAGGACGAAGGAAAGGTCCCGGTTGTTGGCTTTGACAATAGGTGTTTCAAGGTATTTAATGAATATGAATAAAACAAAGCCTGTGGTTAGGAACAACAGTAGAGTAAAGGACATGAGTATGATGCCCAGATGTTCTTCATAGAACAGGAAAGTTATTCTTTTGGAGATACATAGGACTCGATACTTGTTTGGATATTGATCATCTGGGCACTTGGTGCATTTTTTGGTATCTGAGAAAAGAAAGTAATATTTCTTTTATAGTCTTTCAAATTTCAAGAAAAACTTTGGATAAGATGTGATAAAGAGAGACAGAAAAGTCTCAGTAAACAGAATATACTTTCACTACTACAACAACAAAAATCCCCAATACATACAACTATAAATATAAAAGGTCAATATAAAAGGGGGGGGGAATGACATTGCCATAGGTGTATACTACAGACCACCCAACCAAACAGAGGAAATAGATGAACTTTTTGCTAGTCAGCTAACAAAGGTATGTAGCAAGCACATCACAATAGTAATGGGGGACTTTAACTACCCTGACATCAACTGGGAGACAAACTCCGCACCAAGTGGAAGATCAAACAGGTTCCTAGCAAACCTAGCAGACAAATTTGTCTCCCAAAAAGTAGAGAAGGGAACTAGGGGATTAGCCATTTTGGATCTAATTCTCACTAACAGAGATGAAATGATAGAAGGTGTTGATGCCATAGGAACCCTGGGAGGAAGTGATCATGCAATATTAGAATTTAACATTATAGAAGCACAACCAAAAGAACACAGTCAAACTAGAGTCTTGGACTTCAAGAGAGCTAATTTCAATAAACTTAGAGAGGGCTTGGGAAGGATTCCATGGATGAGAATCCTCAAGGGGAAAACAACTCAAGAAGCTTGGGAAATTTTAAAAAATGAGATAATAAAAGCACAGTCTAGCCCAATACCAACAAAGAGGAAAAACAACAGCTCTCAAAAGAAACCAGCATGGCTGCATAAAGAACTCTCTGACAAATTGAAAGATAAAAAGGACAAGTATAGAAAGTGGAAAGAGGGGAACTAACTAAGTCAGAATATCAGCAAATAGCCCGAGCCTGCAAGATGAAGTGAAGGAAAGCCAAGGCTCAAAATGAACTAAGGCTTGGGACCATAGTCAAAAATAACAAAAAAAAACTTCTTTCAACATGTAAAAAACAAGAAAAAAGTGAAGGAAATGATTGGTCCATTAGTGGGTGGAAGTGGCAAGAAGGTGACAAGCAACAGGGAGAAAGCAGAACTATTTAACTCGTTTTTTGCATCTGTCTTTACACAAAGGGAAAAAACAGACCAACCTATCAAAAATAGTGCCATAAAAAACAAATAGAAACACAAGTTAAGATAGGCAAGAAAATGGTAAGTGAGCACCTGTCCAGCCTAGATGAGTTCAAATCGCCAGGACCAGATGGATTACACCCCAGAGTTCTCAAGGAACTGGCAGATGTGATATCGGAGCCACTGAACTATATTTTTCAAAGATCCTGGAACACAGGGGAACTACCAGAGGACTGGAAAAGAGCTGATGTAGTTCCCATCATCAAAAAAGGGAAAAAAAAATGGATCCAGGAAATTACACACCTATCAGCCTGACCTCAATACCTGGGAAGATCCTGGAAAAGATAATCAAACAAGGAATCAACGAACACCTAGAGGCAAACAAAGTCATTACTAAAAGCCAACATGGGTTTGTCAAAAATAGATCATGCCGGACAAATCTTATTGCATTCTTTGACCAAGTGACAAAATTAGTGGATCAGAGGAATGCTGTGGACATAATTTACTTGGACTTCAGTAAGGCATTTGATAAAGTAGATCATAACCTACTACTTGATAAGATAGAAAAATGTGGGGTAGACAGAATCACCACCAGATGGATCCGTAGCGGGCTGACTGGCCGTACTCAGCCAGTGGTCCTCAATGGAACTGCATCTATATGGAGGGAAGTGTGTAGTGGGGTGCCCCAGGGCTCTGTTCTGGGCCCAGTGCTCTTCAACATCTTCATCAACGATTTGAATGAAGGGATAGATGGGGAACTCATCAAATTTGCAGACGACACCAAGCTGGCAGGAATAGCCAACACTCCAGAAGACAGGCTTCAGATACAGAAGGATCTGGACAGACTTGAACACTGGGCACTAACTAACAAAATGAAATTCAATGGTGAAAAAAGCAAGGTTCTACATTTAGGCAAGAAAAACCAAATGCACAAGTACAGCATAAGTGGCACCATGCTCAATAGTAGTAACTGTGAGAGGGACTTCGGAGTCCTGTAGACAATCACCTAAATATGAGCCAGCAGTGTGCTGCAGCTGCCAAAAAGGCCAACACAGTGCTAGGCTGCATTAACAGAGGGATAGAATCAAGATCACGTGAAGTATTAATACCACTCTTCAATGGAAAGATAAGAAAAGGTGGAAAGGAAATATCTACTTGATGACTTTATGCTGACTCCTGTCTTTGGGTTTCATTGTTCCTTTAACCCAACATCTCTCCCTCTATTGTTCCTCCCAATTAGATATCTCAGCTTATAAGGATAAATGATCTTAAAGATTAACTGATTAAATGAATGATTGATCGATGCATCTATCAGTTTGTAATGTAAAGTCGGTTTAGGCAGGGCTTTTTTTCTCATAGAGCGCCCAGAATGAAGTTCCAGCACCATTTTTGGATGGAATCTTGTAGGGTAGGCAAGGCGGGTTGTATGATGTGTATGAGTTCTGGCACCTCTTTTTGGGGGGAAAAAAGCATTAGGTTTAGGTAAACAAAACCCATTGATCAAAAATTATTCCTCAAGTTACAAAGAATACACATATTTCTAAGAAAGATAAATATGGACAGAAACATCCGAACTGGGAAATGAAAGAGAGATTTTCCATGCAATCCACAATATCCTTTTTCTTATCATATCCTTCAAGATATTTTTCTTATATATCCCATTTAGGGAAGAAATTGGACACCATTAAAATTGAGAACTAAACAATCAAACTTACATGTGTCTTTAACATGCATATTGATCAAAGTTTCCCTGTGGTGTCACCCACCTTCCTGAGTGGAGATGGTCCCCTCTGGACAAGGAATGCAGTCATAGCAGCAAACTGGCTCTCCTTCTCGAGCCTGCTTGACAAATCCAGGATGGCATTTTTCCACACATTTAGACTGAGGCAGAGACTGAACAGAGAAAGAAGAAATGCCAAAGAAAATATGTTAGGATTCACCATCCATGTAAGATGGAGGTAGACATGAACATCAGCCAAGTCATCTCTGCGTTTCAAGTAGGCAAATATGAAATCTCTGACCACTTCCAAATGGTTGCAGGAGAGACAATTGCAGGCAGATGCCTCATTCAGTCCCTCTCTTTTTCTTCTGACATATCAGATTACAAAAAAAAATATCTTTCTACTTAACAAAGTCTGAGGGATGAAATTGAGAAAAGATTTAAGCATTAACTGACAACCGGTGGGTTCCTCCTCATAGTGGAATTAGCATGCTGTCAGAGTGGGTCCTTACATTAGACAGGACTTGGACAGCCAAACTGGGATTGAATTCAGAAAAAGTTTGGAAACAGATGAATGGTTCCAGAAAAACAAACATGTGTGCACAATGAGAGACGGATTGCCTTGGGTAGGGGAAAAGTTATATATACCAACAACTCAAAGACTAACTTTCATGCACCTTTGCCATGACACAAAATCAGCAGGGCATTTTGGATTTGTAAAAACTTTACACTTAATTAAACGGCAATTTTGGTGGCCATCAATAAAAAAGGACATAGAAAGTTATGTTGCCAGCTGCCCAACCTGTGCATCAGCAAAGAGGTTGCAAGGGAAATCGCCAGGGCTATTACAACCAGTGGCAAGTCCCTCAGCCCCCTGGAGGGAAATAGCCATGGATTTTATAGTGGAATTGCCAGAAAGCAATGGGAATACTGTTATCTGGACAGTCACGGACCTATTTTCCAAACAGGTGCACTTTATCCCTTGCCAAAAAATTCCCACTGCAAAGGCCTTAGCAAAACTTTTCATCCAGCACATTTACAGATTGCACGGGGCACCCCAACGCATCATCTCTGATAGGGGAGTGCAATTTACGTCTGCATTTTGGAAGGAATTTTTATCCCTCTTAGGGACCACTCAGGGATTGACATCTAGCCATCACCCTCAAGGGGATGGACAAGCGGAACGGTGCCAGTCGGTACTTGAGCAATATTTGAGATGTTTTTTAAATTTCCAACAGAGTGATTGGATGGACTTACTTCCTTTTGCAGAAGTTGCCTACAATAATGCAGTCCACTCCAGCACAGGCTACACTCCTTTTCAAATAGCCAACGGTCCAAAGTTTCAACCCTATGCCAGAGTTAACCCCAAAAGAACCAACGATCCCTTCACTGAAAGAATGGATGGAAAACCTACAAAACACCTGGCCAATAGTCAGAAAATCACTAGATGAAGCTAGGCGGGCATACAAAGCACAAGCCGATAAAAAAAGGGTTGAGCCTACACCATTCATTATAGGAGAAATGGTGTACTTATCTACAAAATACCTAAAGTCCCTACAGCCCTGTAAAAAACTTGGACCAAAATATATAGGACCTTTTCCAATTAAAAGAATCATAAATCCAGTAACAGTAGAATTAGAATTACCCAAAAATCTCAGGCAAATACACCCAATTTTTCATTGCAGCTTGCTGAAAAGAGAGCATCAGTCACCTCTATGGCCAAAAATCCCCCCCCCACCACCTCCAATCATGGTGGAGGGTGAACAACACTTCGAAATAAAGGAAGTCCTTGACTCTAGGAGATATCATCGAGCAACTCAGTACCTAGTTGCCTGGAAACACCTCCCTGCCTCACAAAACGAGTGGGTCCATAAACGTCATGTCAGAGCCCCGAAACTATTGAAGAAGTTTCACACAGAGTATCCCAATAAGCCTAACTAACTTTTATACCTGTTTTGTTTTCTTGCAGGTGGATCTCTCTTATTGTTAAGAGGGGCCAGATGTCAGAATCCAATTATATTTCATCTTTAATTATCAAATATAGAAACTCCCAATTCTGCCTTCTCTGGATTCTGCCATAAGAGGGAGAGAAGGGGGAGAACAAAGGGGCTTTGTGGCCCTCACTTCCTTCAGTAGACTTCTAAGAAACTGAATGTGTTTATTGCAACATCAAGAGGGACTTTGAATGTAAATAGCATCAAAGAACTTTACCATCACAAAAGAGAGCTAATTACCTTTCATGTAGTTTGAAGTCTCTATACAGACGAAAGAAAGGAGCAAGGGGGTGGAATTGTGATGCCTGAAACTATCACTGGAAGGGGGGGTGATTGGGGGGACTGCTGGGGAACCCCTTAAAACCTTGAATGGGAGAGCTTGGACCCCAAGTCCTGTCTAGCATGCCTGCAACCATTTTCTCTTAATAAAGGATTCCTGTTGGAAGAATTATTCCAAGAGTTCTGTCTTCCTAAGATGCAAAGTGGGGTGGGTCCTTACACATGCATTCCTTCAGTCTTCATACATGCTTGATTTTAAAATAAGATATCCAAACATACTCATTTTGGAGTGACATTTATCATAAAAGATTCATTTTTTATTCCATTAGATTTATTGAAATAGAATAAAACCATGATCAAGAAAAGATCTTCTGACCAGCAGATTCTGGAAAGATTTCTTCTCGAGTGCATAAAACTTTGCAAAGCTGCTTCCCTTTGAACATGGTCCAAAATTATCTCCCAGTTAAGATAAAAAGGAAAATTTCTTTAGAAATAAGGGCTGTCAACCCTAAAGATGAACTTTATTTGTATATATATATATATATGTTCGGTTTATATGGCTGCCATGCTGGTGAACTAAAACTAAAACCGACTGACTAGTTTCTAAAACTATAGTGAGGTGAGATGGAGGTGAGGTCATGAGAATGTGTCCCTCAAAAAGGGTGAGTCATGGATCACTTGATGTACCACATGGGTCATGAGTGTGAGCCTTATGTGTGAAAGGGATATTCAACACACGATATCCAACACAAGGTCCTTTCTGTTGGGAGAATACAATTAGGTGACACAATATGACACAGAAATACACACTCATATTTATTATTAGTTTGATCTGTAGCCTCGCAGTGTGTCCTAAGGCAGCTAACAATGAAGATAAACAATTGCATTCAAGGGATTTTCAGATGAAGTGCACTCTTACAAGCCAATGACCAAATCTAAGTAACATTTCTCTCTAAATTGTTCCTTTTTATTTCTGATTTTTTTTCACCAAAGTGATGCTTCAGTACTTCAGTAAGCCAATCTTTTGGATGACAAAGTTGTCGGCTAGGTTGGTTTTGCATGGATTTTTATTATTTTATTTGAGACAATACTGATATTGACAATAGATGTACCATTTAAACAATGGAAAAAAAGTTTTTTATAGAAGGACACATCCAAACAGTTTTTCATTATATACAGCAATACTTTGCAGGGGCCAAGTGTACCTGTGTGTACCTCAAGGTCCAGTCCACCATCCAAGTACTAATCAAAGTCAACTCTACGTAGCATCTCTACTCAGTCAGGATTAAACCTAAAGAAGTTGACATGCCATCATTTCACCTTCAGAAGACACAGGATTTTTAATCTGAAAGAATGCTAAGGGTTGCGGGCTGGGCTGGGCTGGGCTAGGATTGGATTGGATTTCATTTTATGTCCTTTTTTAAAGGTTTTGGGTAATCAACTTGCTGTCCCATACTTTTTCATAAAACCATTTTAAAAAACCAAACAAATGCAGCTTCCTCTGGGCCACGTTTGAACACGTTATGGTGTTCTCCTCATATTCTCTGCATTACAGTGTGAATAATCAGGGATCAAATTCAAACAGCTTTGTGAGAGATTTGGAGGAGAAGCATGAGACTGATCAAACTGCCTTCTTCTGAGAGAGAAGCACCACAAATTCCTTTCAGTATTTCAGAAGAGGTGAGCTTCGTTGATTTAAAAATACCTCTGAGGGATTACAGGGTGGAAGCAGGATACGTGAAAAGTCCTCGTGAAGCTTTGCTTCATTTCCATGTGGCAAGTTCACTGAGATAACTGAAACTAAAATGTTCCTTCTCTCAAGCCTAACTCTTCGTCCCAAACAACAAAATGCCATAAGCATGAATAAAGAAAAGCCCTGGTCAATTCAAATGTCCTTCTAACAACTGCTAAATAGTATCAACTTCTTCACACAGAAATTTAGGCAGCTTCTTTTCAAACAGTGTTCCTCAATTATTTTTAAACCTAAATTTAAGTCATAGTCCCCACTTTTTTTTTTATTCTTTACCTCATTTAACACCAAGTCAGTTTGCATCTGTGCTTTCCTCATTACCGTTGCTGCACCCACTCACTGATTTCCTCATTAACTGCTTTCTGTGGTTCTTGGGCAAAGAACCACATTAAAAATTAATTTCCTTTCTTTTTAGGGCTGCCAATTTTGCCATTTTCAGTCTCACTGGTCTCCTACTCTTTAGTGCAGCTGTGGTTAATTCATTGTAAGGAGTTTGGAAGATTCAACTCAATACTTGGAAGGTACATTTGTAGCAGCTGATGCCTTTCAGTGTGCCAGCCTTACTGAAGACGCCCTACTTTTCTCTATTTTAACCATCTTGGATTCTTTGTGCAGCATTTTTTAGGTTTTTCTCGACTGCCAAAAAAGACAGGCAGATGACAGTTCGTAATATAAAATCAAGAATGTTTTAAATGAAATTTGTTTGTTCTAATAGCATTTGGGCACTCTTATTAGTTTAACGAAGAGAAGGACGAGGGGTGACATCATAACAGTGTTCCAATATCTCAGGGGCTGCCCCAAAGAAGAGGGAGTCAAGCTCTTCTCCAAAGGGCCTGAAGGCAGGATGAGAAGCAACGGATGGAAACTAACTAACTAATTAACCAGTGGAACAACCTGCCTCCAGAAGCTGTGAATGCTCCAACACTGGAAGTGTTTAAGAAGAGATTGGACAGCCATTTGTCTGAAATGGTATAGGGTTTCCTGCCTGAGCAGGGGGTTGGACTAGATGACCTCCAAGGTCCCTTCCAATATCATCATCATCATCACTATTATTACTATTATTATTATTTTCCATACCATTAATTTTAATAAAAATAATTATATACCCCAATTTTCTAAATTGTATAAATTCCCAATTCTGCTCTGAGGGCAGCAGTTGAAGTCCTTTCATCCACCCTCAAGATACTTCTCAGATGATATGATCGGATTTGTTCTAGTAGTGATATAAGTTAAAGCCCAAAGTTCAGCTCAATATAAGTGCATAATAGAACGGTGGTATTTTGTATTTAATAATTCAGTCTAAGGAAGCTGCATACCTATGATTTTTTTTTAAAAAAAAATTAACAGTGCATTCACTTGTGCCTTCTAAGTGAGCTCCTTTGATGTTGAGGGAGCCCAGATCCAGTCCCAGAGAAAATTCCCCCAGGTAAGGAAAGGTGTGAACTTGCTCTGTTGCCTCCTCATCCATTAGCCCTATAGGGCAATGCTCTCATTTCCCAAGAACCATCACTTTTGACTTTGACTCATCTAAAATCAGATAATTATTATGAGAATAGGATCCAAGTCCTCTTAACAGCACATGCAACCCAAATGTCATATTGGCATCACCTTTTTCTTCAGTTTTGGTACATATCAATCCTACTTCTCATGGCTCCATTGAGCCCCAAACACACTCTCAAGCAAATGAACAAAAATGGGATGGAAGGGACCATGGAGTGTTCCTCAATTATTTTTAAACCTAAATTTAAGTCATAGTCTCCACTTATTTTATTATTCTCCACCTTACTTAACTTGATTACTAAACACCAAGTCAGTTTGCATCTGTGCTTTCCTCATTACCGTTGCTGCACCCACTCATTACACAAAGTAATTGTCCGTTTCTTGGGGAATAGCAAAGGTTTGACATTATCTCAAGGTTTCAAGGCACTTTTATTGATGCAGCTTCCACAATTTCCTCATTAACTGCTTTCTGTGGTTCTTGGGCAAAGAACCACATTATTAAATATGAATTTCCTTTCTTCTTAGGGCTGCCAATTTTGCCATTTTCAGTCTCACTGGTCTCCTACTCTTTAGTGCACCTGTGGTTAATTGATTTCTAATTTTGCATGTTCATCTTCTATCAGGTCCTGTATCAAGGCTATTTGATGGGAGTCCACAGAAATTGGCTCCAGCCCTCAAGGCAAAGCTTAGGAGATGTGGCTCAACAATCACCTTTTCCACTCATTGCCAGGAACTTTCAACCCATTGCTCACCAACAACCAGGCTCAATATTGACTCCCTGAGAGACCCTCCAAGGATGCTTTTTCACTGCAACAATTCTTTGCATCTTGATTACTTAACATTTTCTGTATTACATTTCTGCATCTAACACAGAAATTGTTAAATCTTTCAGTGGTTTTTTTTCTATTCTTCTCATCCTTCAGTGTAAGGATTCTTTCTCAGAGCAATTGTATCACAGATTGGGAGAAGAAAAAAAGAGAGAAGAGAAAAAGATGATGAAAAATAGGAAAATGTTGAAAAGTCATATTTAGTTTGTGAAACTAGGATGATTTTATATGTAACTAAGTCTGAGTGTTTTGTTTTGTGAAAACAGATTTTAAGTTACTGTGTTATTCAGGGCATGGGAAAATGCTTGTGCTTCACTTTGAAACCATATCTAAATCTCTACAGCATCCATGGCAACTGGATGCGACACCTGAGAACCAACAGAACTTACAGAATAACCGAGTTGGCAGGGACCTGCTAGTCCAATCCCATGCTGAAGCAGGAAAGCCCTACCATTCCAGACAAATGGCTTTCCAAATTATTCTTAAAAACCTCCAGTGATGGAGCACCCAAAACCTCTGGAGCCAAACTCTCACAGTTACTGCTACGGAGACACGTATCACCTATTCTATACCTGTGCATTCCTTTTTTCTTGCCTAAGTGTAAAGCCATATTGTTCTCACCACTGAAATGTAGAGATAAGTAATAAAAAAAATATGCCCCCCCCCCATGAGATCCTTTGTAACTGAAGCAGCAGGAAACATTCAATGTAACCAACACTCACAGCTTTTGGAACTCAGCTCTCCTTCTCAATTTCAGTTGATCTTCTGTGTCCCACAGGACTCCTAATAAGGAGTGGTAAGGCCACACTTGGACTTCTGCCTCCAGTTTTGGTCACCACAATGTAAAAAAGATGTTGAGACTCTAGAAAGAGTGCAGAGAAGAGCAACAAAGATGCTTAGGGGACTGGAGGCTAAAACATATAAGGAACGGTTGCTGCAATTGGGTATGTCTAGTTTAATGAAGAGAAGGATGAGGGGGGATGTGATAGCAGCGTTCCAGTACCTCAGGGGCTGCAGGACAAGAAGAAATGGATGGAAACTCATCAAGGAGAGAAGCAACCTGGAACTAAGGAGAAACTTTCTGACAGTGAGAACAATTAACCAGTGGAACAACCTGCCTCCAGAAGTGGTGAATACGCTCCAACATTGGAAGTTTTTAAGAAGTGACTGGACAGCCATTTGTCCGAAATGGTATAGGGTTCCCTACCTGAGCAGGGGGTTGGACTAGATGACCTCCAAGGTCCCTTCCAACTTTATCATTATTATTATTATTAACCCTTAACTAAGACTGAAGGGATATCTCGAACTCTGCATATATTCTCTGTCTTCAGAGAAATAGAAATCACCTGGATGAGGGAGGAATACTTCAACGAAAGCCAAATCAGTCTGTGCTTCATCTGAGTGCCACAAAGACCCACCAGGAAGCAGAGCAGCTGTTTTCCCAAAACCCACCCATAAAAATGTGTCGCCCATGATAGCAGTGCCAACCCCAGATTTCCACCACTTAGTTCTAAGGGCTCTTCCCAAAGTCCAGCCATTAGTGAACATGGCCGAGCATTATCATCGTGGACTGTAGAGTTTGGGCAGCAATTCAGTAAGGAATTTTCTTTGACCCATTCGGACACTGCAAGTCCTGAGCCTCCCATCTTTTATAGCCATAGCAGGTTAGATGGTCAACTAAGTCTGCTGCTCTTCTCAGGGCTTTTGTAACAGCTAACAAACAGGAGCGTTTCAATACAAGGAAGATGCACCGTTGCCTTAGGTAAGAACTATTTTGCAATACTTCACTGAGGTGATATGATGCAATCATTACAACTCCATAAATAGAGAGCCAAGTCTGTCCCAGGAGTAAGATTTGGTCCAGAACCAGTCTCAGCATGAAGATCCTTTATCTGCTGTTTGCATTTCTTTTCCTTGCATTCCTGTCTGAACCAGGTAAGAAATAAAATTACTGATAATTTACAAAGGATTGGTAACTCACTCCTTTTTAAACAAATACGATCTTCACTGAAAGCAGGATAATCTTCAACATCTTTTTGTTTTACTTTACAGAAATAGCTTTGAACAGTATAGACTATTGAGAACATGAGCCTCCAAATATTTGAAAAATATGCCATTGATTTTTCTTTTGATTCACAATTCTTGAAAGAACTTTATTGGGGTTTTTGTTATTATAGCTTATTTTTGTTGATTTGCTTCACTTTAACATTGGTTTACCAAATTCTCAGCTCACTCAAGGTCTTCATCCAAAACACACAATGCAACTGGCCACTGTAACTCAGCAAGGATCCATGGCAATACTGGAGAGAAATATATCACAGTAAGGTCTATCCTTCATATGAAATAGAATTATTTCTTCCCTCCTACATTAATAGATGTAGGCTTACCAGCTATTTCATCTTTGAGTCAGACTTCAAACCTGGGTTAATGGCTGATTTATTTGAGCTGCTGCAGGAGATCAGCAGAGATGGATCTGTGTGGTCAGAGAAAATTTGCTGTAGTCCTAGGAATCCTGCAATTCTTGGACGGATGTTAACATTCCCATCTTGGATGAATGGTTACAAAAGCTGATGGAGTTAGCAGAGATGGCTAAACTGACAGTTTTGATAAAAGAAAAGAATATAAGTACTTTTGTTTGTACTTGGATACTGCTTCTGGACTTTGTGCTATAATTTGCTATAACTTGTGCTATAATTTGCTATGATTTGTGCTATAACTCTATAATTTCACACAGTCTCATTCTTCCCTTTCGGTTTATTTATTTATTGTAGTGATTACTTTGCCACTGATGTCTTCCAGCTAATGTAGTTGCTTGGGCAGAAATAGTATAAAATCAGATTTAAGCTTTTCACTAAGATCTTGGAAAGAAGCAGAAAAAAAATTCTTAAGATTATTTTTTCTCAAGTTAAATACTATTTTGAATACCATTTAAATACAACTTAGAATAAGAATGATTTTGTCTGATGACTTAATATCAGCACAGCCTGGATCTTGATAAAGATAAATATGCCATTAATTTTTCTTTTGATTCACAATTCTTTAAATAACTTTATTGGGGGTTTTGTTATTGTACTTTATTTTTTTTGATACGCTTCACTTTAGTATTGGTTTACCAAATTCTCAGCCAAATATGTTTTGTTTGAATAAGGAGGCACAATGGAGAAAGAGTTTGGTCTAGTGATTAGAGCAAAACACGACAACTCTGGGTACTGAGTTCCAGTCCCACCTTGGGCCTGAAAGCTGACTGAGTGAATTTGGCTAAACTGACAGTTTTGATAAAAGAAAGGAATATAAGTACTATTGTTTCTGCTTGGAAACTGCTTCTGGACTTTGTGCTTGAGGTGGAAAAAAATGATACTATGATTTTGGGGTTTACTGATTAGACTGATTTGTTGATAGAGAAATGGCTAGTTCATACTAATACAGAAATGCAAAAAGTTGAGATTCGATTTTCATGCCTTATTTTACTGCAACAGGGAATCGGAAGTCAACACCTTTTGTTTCTCCCCCCCTTTCCACATTTCCCCTTTTCCTCTTTCCCTATAGTTGTTCCTTACTATTTGCTTTTTATTTTGATATTTTTATGTTGTAAATGAATAAAAATATAAATTGATAAAGGAATCCTGCAGTTCTGTAGAAGAAGGTAGTGTCTTGGAAGGGAAAATATATTCAAATATTAAGGAATCTTTACTCATCGTTTACCTGTCTCCTCTTTTTCTTTTCATAGGGAATGCCCAACGACAGTGTCATCGGGTAGGCGGATTCTGCCGTGTCGCCCAATGTCCTCCTACAACTTCTGAAATTGGTCAGCTGGGCTGTGAGCCACTACTGAAGTGCTGTAGAAGGTAAGACAACTCTCCTCCAATAGAGATACTACAGATCAGTACATAATGTGATTCTCTGCCTGATATTGTTTGCATTCGCAAAGCTTTGCAAAGCAAAGAATTTACTTTAAACTCACTTTGATCAACTTATTATTTTTTTCTCATTTGTATAGGGAAAGGGGAAAATAATGCCATCTCCATCTACGACCATGGATATCTTCAAGACATGGCCAAGGACCTGAGATTGCCACCTGCTATCGCTTTATCTTTCTTTATATAAATAAAATTGCTACCCATCAAACTCTAAAACATTTGTGGAGAGAGAGGGGGGAGGGAGAGAGAGGGAGGGAGGGAGAGAGAGGGAGGGAGGGAGAGAGGGAGAGAGGGGAGGGAGAGAGAGCGGGGGGAGGGAGAGAGAGAGAGAGGGAGGGAGAGAGGGAGGGAGGGGGAGGGAGGGAGAGAGAGAGGGAGGGAGAGAGGGAGGGGAGAGAGAGAGGGGGAGGGAGGGAAGGAGGGGGAGAGAGGAGGGGAGGGGAGGGAGAGGGAAGAAGCGAGGGAGGGGGAGAGAGAGGGAGGGAAGGAGGGAGGGAGGGGGAGAGGGAGGGAGGGAGGGAGGGGGGTGTTGCCTGCTCTTCAACCACATATTATGCTATAATTTCACACACTCTCATTCTTCTCTTTTGGTTTATTTATTTATTGCTTTGGGATTACTTTGCCACTGATGTCTTCCAGCTAATGTAGTTTCTTCGGCAGAAATAGTATAAAATCAGATTGAAGCTATTCACTAAGATCTTGGAAAGGAGCAGAAGAAAAATTCTTAAGGTTATTTTTTCTCAAGTGAAATAGCCTTGGATACAACTTAGAATAAGAGTGACTTAATATCAGCACAGCCTGGATCTTGATAAAGGAAATGAAGATGCAGCAATAGGAAATCCGCAAGAGAGAGAGAGAGGATCCTTTCCTGGCCCAATCTTTTTGTTAAACAGACAGACCAACAGATGTTATGAAATTGATTAGATACCATCTAAACAAATAAATAGACTACACAATAAAACCACATAGGGTGAGTCACATAGGACCTGATGCAGGCAAACAAACACAGCCAACATGTGAGGGATACTATTGTGGACACTATTACACCTATGCTAATAAAGGGGTGTGATCTAACAATGTACACAGGTGAAAACATAATTTGCACAACCAGTATCCATACAAGCCTGAACCTATTCAATTTCTCCCCCCTCTCAACTTTCATTCACACACTTTCTACTTCTCTTTTATTGCAATGTCTACATTTATAAGGGGATGTAAATATTTAACTTGTGGCATAAATCATCCTATAAAATGTTAAAATCTCAACTATGAATCAGACTTCTCTGAAAATAATTATTAAAATACAAATAGTAAGTACCAGAGTAGGTCTAGGGCCAATAGTTAACATATATCCATTCTTTATTAGCCTTTTAATGCAGCATTTTTTACAACACAGGCAGGGTACATGTAACACAGAAATGAGCTAGAAGCATCATGGCAGTTCTAAAGCAAGGGATCTTCACAGCTTGACACTTTATTGTTAAACAACATGTCAGTTTGTCCCCACTTCCCTCTCGGCACATACAGTACTCATTACACAAGATAATTGACCGTTTCTGGGGTAACACCAGGAGCTCAACATTATTTCTAGACTTCAGTGCACTTTTAGAAATACAGCTAGCCTCTGCCTGCTCCCTGCGGTTCTTGAGCAAAGAACTACCTTACTAATAATTGACTTTCTTTTCAGATTGGCTAGTTTTGCCATTTGTAGCCTCACTGACCCACTAATACTCACTGCCTGTGAGGGCAAGGTGGGCAGGGGGGAGTCCTCAGAAAGGGGCTCCCCCCTCAAGGCAAAGAGCCCTTTCTAACTCCAGTTCTATCACTGGGAGGGAGAAGAAAGGAGGTTTGGGTCTAGTAAACCCTGCAATCTTCTCCTCTCTTCTCCAGCCCTTCTTGTTCAGCTGAATAAAAGAGTCCAACGGAAGAGTGAGAAATTCCTACACCTGCTGGCTCTTCCTGATGATGCAAGGAACTAAGCCTGTTGCTCCTGTACATCAACACATACTTCCCCTCGTTCCCCCAGGTGGCAGCCCATAATTATGTTCCAGGAAAATATGGGGTAGCCGTATTTAGTTTGCATCTAAGGTGATGTTGACTGCATAACGATCTCATAATAGTGTGAAGAGAGG